GTAGTCTGTAAACAGTCTGAAAATTTATTGTTGATACACCACGTGTCTTTTGTTTTAGTCCCAATACCTCATATTCATGGGAGCAACCGATTTTACGTTCTGACGCGATGATTCCTCTCTTGATGCAGATTAGTATTCCCCCTCGTCTTTCGCGTAGCCCGTTCGGCAAAAAACCTGATACTCACCGAGTACGATTTCGGCATCCATTATGTTGGCTTTTAACCATCTGCCGTGTCTTAATTTAGTCTATTTTCTGAGACAAACTCTGTGCGTTCGCATAAAAAAATCTGCGTTTCGCTTGGGTAGATTTTTGAGCGAGTTGTGGGTCGGAGTTGCTGGATATTTGTGTGGCTTATCCAATTTAATATATGGCGTTGAGTTTACTGATGACTGATCAAATTGGAAATCGATGTGAACAGTTGTCATTTTCGCCGAGTCGTTTGACAGACAGGAGCGCTCTTTCACTGTCATCAGGTTATGCACAACACTCATTGTTATTGGCTGCCTCAGATGAATGATCTCTGACTAGTTATCATTGCTCTGTTCAATATTTTTGGGCTTTTCTCGCTCGCACTGGATAACTTGAGGCGTTCAGTTTTGATTTCCCTCCATTTCTACCGCTTGGCTGGTGAGAAATCCCGCACAAAAAACCGTCGGGTGAACGTTTCAGTGAGTCAGCTTTTGGTTCAGCAGTAACAGTGCATGCCCTATTTTGGAGAACAATCTTTAACCGTTTGGGTTGGCTCGAATCCGCTTTGGAATCATTTTTTGACGCATCCTAAAGGCATTTAAGACGATACCGTCGTTTACGATTAGGAGAGATTTAACTTACATATGTATTACTGAAAGCATTCTATATCGTGGTATATTCAGTTTTTTTATCTGAAGGAGATTCTGAGAAGCCTTTTATGAAACTGCATATAATGCGATCAATTAAAGGGTTTTTTTTGTTTTTCTACTCAGGGACTACTTTGTCTTAATTTCTGTTGTCATTATCATTTGATTCAGAGGCAGCTTTAGTTGCATAGCTACCGCATAGTTCCTCGTTTACGAAGGTTTCTTGACTATTGGGCATCTCCTTCGGCTACGTGATATTTGCTTGAAATGCGTGATGAATCTGCCCCATCGTACTGAGACACGGGCCAAATTTTTTCGTGATGATAAGGGACGTTTTTTGCTTTCTTTGTGCTCGGACTCATTTTTCGTTTGATCGTCTCAACATTCTTCGGTTTCTGAGATCTTCGCTTTTCGTACTTTTTGATGGTTACATTTAACACCATAGACGTGCTCCAATTTTCTTTATTGGTTGTCACGGCTACTTCAGTCATGCATCTCGGCTTCCACTTTGACGCCACTGGTCGCCACCCAGAATTATACCATATTCGTGCCATCTAACAGGTGTCTGAACCCACAGATTTAGCGAAACTTCGATCGTTTCTTGGCCTGAGCAGTGATTATAGTGCCTTTATACAGTCGCTGCATGACATAGGGTCCCATTAAACCGATTGCTGCTCTGAATGTTCTGTATTGCTGGTCCCCTGAGTGTGACAAGGCCTTTGCCCGGCAGAAGTTAATCCTCAGTTCGTATCCACTGCCCACGCACTATGACCTGACACTGTTGATCTTCGTCACTGCAGATTCCTCCGATCATAGCATGAGTGCCGTAAATTCGCATACTTTTCCCGACGGGTCCGAAAAGGTGATTATGCATACATTCCAATCGTTAAACCCCGCTGAATAAAACTATGGTCCAATAGAGATAGAAGCACTAGCCATCATTTTGCCGTAAAGAAAATCCACAAGCTGTTATGTGGTGGTCATTTAAAGTTGTTGAATGACCATAGACCCTTGCTGTCAGTCGTCGGTCCGAAAAAAGGCCTTTCAGTCTATTCAGTCAGCCTACTTCCACGATGAGAAAACACTTATTTTG